TATATAAAGACTGCATTTATTACAGTATGAATTCAGGTAAAAAAATAAAATAAAAATCATAATTTATTTTAACTCAGAGCTGCAGCTGTGGGTCTTCAGGGGACCAGTGAGCAGAAACGAGTATAGATGATGTGCAGTCAGCTAATATATACTTAAATTATTGGCAGGGGAAGTTACCCTTCAGGAAAAGTACACAAAATCACTGAAGCAGAAAAAACAATCACTAAGAGAGTGTGTTTACTGAGATTATCTAAGAGCTTCAGTATTTTATTTCATCCAACCCTTTAATCTAACTCTTGAAATAAATGGATGCAGTCAGAGATGGAGACGAGTCAACAGCTACATTTATGAGCCTTTAATTAAAGAGTTGAATTCTGTTTCCATCTTTTAAAGTTGCAAAAACAAGCTGCCACTGGGGGCTTAAAAAACTGATCAAAACAGCTAGAGAGTTTCTGTTTTCTGTACTTACACACTTTAGAGATTAAATATCGGTTAAAAAAAAATCAAGACTGATCGTTGAGTTTATGAAAATATTTGTTACTAAGTTGCTGATTAAAGAAGTTTTAAACACGTTTAGCTCAAATAGAAACGGTTCATATCTTTTTGTATAATGTTTGAGCAGAAGGGATGCTGGTGGGTTGAGGGAAGACAAAGTAGGAGATAAAAGCACAGAAAGGACTGAGCTGAGTGGAAAACACAAGATGGAAACATAAAGGAGACGAATGAGGCTGAAAATGTTGAGCTGCTCATCTTTAGTCTTTATGTTTCTGCACTCGTTTGGACCAGACAGAAGAAATGTAACCTGAAGCTGTGCTGTACACATACTGCTATTAGTTTGAAATAATTGGGCTAATTTATAAGAGAATTGGACTTTTTATTTTTTCTATTTTTTGTAATAAACTATGAAGTCACAGGCCCAGTTGACAGTCCATCATCTGCACTTCAGGGAGGAGGTCAGTTTTCATCTACTCATCTGTAGGTCATCAGATCCTTCCAGCCCGTCGTGTGCAGCCCAGGATTTTGTGTTTGCAACAATAAAAGCCAAAAGGTTCAACATTAACGCGCCTCAAAGTTTAAAGTCTGTGTGTGCACGACAGCGTTTAACTCAGGGGGGTTACGGTTTGACGCTGCTGCTCATCTGTTGCATCATCAAAAGAAAAGTCATTTATTAACAGGAATTAGATTATTTTTAGTTGTTCTTGTTTTAAAAATTGCCCACATGTGGATCCAAATAAAACAAGTATCAGAAATGTGTTTTTGAACCCTTCCTGTGGTTTGCTCATCTTTTTTTTTGTTTGCTCTTAATGTCTTTGAGGATGTGTTTTAAATTTGGTCATGAAGCTGCACACAGTTGATCGGAGGAGGACCTGGTGGACACTAGACAAGTCCAGATGATCATTAATAAAAGGTGGATGTGACCTCACTACTTGAGATAAAATACCCCCCAAAAAAAAACGTTTAACGGCTTTACAAGACAAAAACACTTTAAAAAAGTCTTAAAATGGGTGAAGCAGCAGCTTATACAGGGACAATAAAATGTGAGCAACACAACAGCAGCTAAAAATACATTTTTATTCTCCACACCCACAATTATAGTAAAATGTCTTAACATGTCTTTAATCGCGTCTAACAAATTTCATCGACGTTTGAAGGCTTTTTGACCATAAAGTCACAAGAACTCCATCGTGTTGAGTAAATTTGCGTGTAGATGATTTATGTAACACAAAACACCGGTGACTCCACCATGCGAACAGAAAAAGATGACATTAAACCTTCCTCCCTGGGACGCCTGTCTCCTGCGATCGCCTCAGAAACACGCGTGTCCCTCGTCACACAGAAAGGCAGTAAAAACATGTGGCATCATCTTAACAACCACCCTCCCTGTTAATATCAGAACACAGATGATAAAACCCTGAGTCCATATCTCCAGGCTGATATAAAACCAAAACAGCAGAAAAAAAACAAAACACCTGGATAAAAAAAAACAAAGATTTGCAATTAAATCAAGCATTCCTAATGTGTCTCCCCAGGGTTGTTGTGCAACAAAGTGACTTTGCCGTTGTGTGACTTTCCATCGAATGACTTAAAAACTGCGCTGGTGATGCGGCGGGGATGCTGTGACATATTTCCCCTTCTCTAATTCCTGAACAGATGAAAGGCTTCAAAGATGTCCCTGCTGGATTAGATTCATTTAAACGGTGTCACGTGAAACCGTGTTTGCTGTAATGTCAGAGAGACGAGACGCTGTTGGACTACAGATGAGCTCGTGTAGATTAAACAACGCGGCAGTAAAACAGCTGAACTTTGCCCAGTTTAAATCTCAGTGATACCTGCCATTACACTGTATGAGCCTGTAGCCAAACTGGTTGAATTGCAAAGAATAACGCATAATTATTATTTGTATTTTTGAAGAAACGTGACTTTCATATACTGAATATGTCAAGATACTGAACTAAAACTTGGTGTGGTAGTAGCTGAGACACAAACGCAACATGAAAAATGGAGATTTTATATTTGAGGTCTTTCCAATAAACTTCTGCCATTGCTTTTGCCAGAAATATACTCTTATATTACAAACATTTTTAAATTAGTTTTTATATATTATTTGGAAACTGTGTTGCAGATCATATTTGCTGACATTTAGCATCTTATATAATTATTAAAAAGTAAAACTTTACTCCAGGTTGTGTCGGTACATGGTGAAGTACAAGTTTGTCTTCACACAAACTCATCTACAGTCGATGTTTGCTGCAGAAGAGTCCTGGCCTGCGTTCACTCTCTGCTCTCAGCTTTAGTGTGAGCTTCTCTTCACCTGGCCTCACACTTTGAACCGAAACGTCCTCATCTGAGTTTTACCTGTAAATGTCTCGAGCCATCCCGAAGTCTCCGATCTTGGCCACCCGGCCCGATCCCTTGCAGGTCAGTAGGCAGTTTCGAGCTGCAATGTCCCTGAAAACAAACCAATAAAGCAACATATCATATCACTGTGCATACCCAGATTACTGCATTTACTGTATTTTTCATACATTAGCATATCCTGCAACTTATACACTGAAGCAATTTATGTATTTTCCCCCCTTATATGTATAATCCAATTTTTGTCTGAGATCTGATGATTTCATTCATTCTGACATGGAAAATATTGAACACTATTATTTTCAGCTGCTAGAGGGTCCTCGACTAATATGGCAAGCCAAGAGTCTCATTAATAGGTAAAAGTGTCTATTAATGAGACACTTGGCTTGCCATAGACGACCTTCTTCTCGCTCCAGAACTCCTGGAGCAAACTTCAAATCAGCTGCATTTCGCCGCGCTGCCCAGGTGAAATGCAGCTGATTTGATTTACCTGTCTAAATAAAGGTTGAATGAATTTATAAAGGAAAAGTTAAACTGAGACACACCTTTGCTATAATTTAAAGTAAACAAATAACTGTTTTAAAGTGTTAATCTTGTTAATTTCTTGTTAAAGTCCTCCTGTGCACGCTCCCACGGCTGCCATTTGGCAGACAATCGATTTTTGGCACAACACCAGCCCACATTTCCAGGTGGTCAGCGGTGACACATATCAGATGTGACTTATACGGCGAAGCAACTTGTACCACGGCAAGTACAGTAATTATGTGAAAACACAGTTTAGCAACTGCTCGCCTTTTGCCTCGTCTCTACAGAAATGTGCTTTTATTTTATATAAAGCTATACAGAAAATGCTCCACAGTGTTCTGAACAGAGCTGGAATAATAAAGTCTTACAGACTTAAGATTGGGTTGCACATTTTTATTCTATAAATTAAATGGATCTTCAAGGAGTTTGCGCCACAATCGTCTAAACTTAACTCGTTTAGAAGCACACGTCTCCTCATCGAGCACCAGAGAAGTGCACACAAGGTAAAATTAAGAAATAAAGCAGGATTTAAGAAGGAAACACGTGACGCTGAGTTCAAATTGGATCACGAGGCAGGAAACGAATGAACTTACAGCACAAGGTTGTCATTGTATAGAAACATTGTTTTGATGTCTGGCCTCCACAGTCTGATTAAACTAGATGAGAAATGACACAACGAGGATAAAAACACTGAATCCAGCGGAGCTTTATAAGGGAGCTGTTTCTATTCACTCCTGTGTGTCAGAACCTGTAATGATTCAGCTTCTGTCACTTCAACACGACTTTAAACACAATAATACGTAAATAATTCACCCTGAAAATGAGATCTAATTCACATGCACAAGATTGTTTCTCTTTAATAAAATGAGCCGTCAAAACTACTTATGGAGAAGCTTCTCATGGGTTTAATCACACGACAGGCTTTCCTGCTGACGAAGAAGCGATGCGGATATTCGATTCTGGGGCGTCTACGGTGCCTTCGAAAGATTAAATGATCTCCATCAACAAGCTGCTTTCACAGCTTTAATTTGACAGCGACTGAATCCATCAGCTTCATGTCTGACTGAGCATCTTGATGCTTTTCCTTCATGGTTTCTCTTACTGGACCTACCCAGCAGTTTTTATTTATCACCTTCAGGAAAGAAAGAACTGCTGCAGACATTTTATAGGGTAAGCATGTGGTGGTCGGGGGTCTTAAACTGGTGTTTTCTTTCTTTTGTTTTTTTTTTACAAGAAGCAGATGGACAAACAGGAAGCCAATGCAGCGAAGCTGTTTTTTTTACTTCAGCAACTATTATCTTCAACTTAAAAGTTCAAAAACGTCTAAAAAGAGGAGTTATTTACTGAACTTTTGAACTTTGGAGCAACAGTGCCAGGACAAAACAAGGCACTGATTTTTATTTTGGATTATTTTTAATTTTCAAGTGTTTTTCAGACTAAAAGAGACTTTAGTTTCGCATCAACTCATTGGAATGGCTTGCACTGTCAGCGTCCAGCTGAGACAGCCGATGGACACAAGACAACTTAGACAAAAGTAGCTGAACCTTCCTAAACCTGAATTCTCCACACAGCTCTCTTTGTTTTCACGTCTTTTCCTTTGTGCTTTGCTTTTAGCACAACTCCATCATCAGGGCTGACAAACACTGGCAACTTGAAAGTGCGAAAAAAATAAAGAGAATTTCTGTTGTGATCTCTTGAAATTTTGAGCGTTTGTGACCAAGAAACTAGCGAGCAGTAGCATTTTTGGTGTCAATTTTCAAAAAGCACATCTCCATGCTGAAGTATTCATTCATACCCATCTACTCACCACAGACTCATTTTCAGGTTGCTGTTGAACATACTGTATTGTTTTATATTATTAGTGTTTAGCGTATATCTTAGATCTTTTAGCATACAGTAGCCCTTCGCTACTTTGTGGTTCGTTTATCGCAGACTCGCTCTATTGCTGTTTTTCAAAATAAGATTGGACATGACACACAATCGGCATGGAATTTTTATTTAAAATACATTATTTTAAATTATTTAGCATGTCCTGCGCCTTTGTGCAGCCCATGCTGCAGGTTAAACTTCCTCCTGCAGCTGATCAGCTGTTCTCTGGGTCGAGCATAGAAGTGGGCGTGGCCAAGAGTGCTTGCAGGTGGCTGAGCGCAGCAGAGGCAGGGAGCTGAAATCATGATATTCTGTGCTCTTTTAGAGCGTTTAGAGTTAGAAACATTATTTAGAATATTACAAGAGTGTGGGAAGGGTTTAAAACACCTTAATATCTATATATAAAAATACTAAAATAAACTAATACTACTGTACTTATACTACTTTTCCTACTTTGCTGTTCTTCACTTATCGCGGGGCTTCAGGGTACGGATCCCCCACGATAAACGAGGGACTACTGTATTGTTTAGCATATATCTTAGCTCCTTATACAATGTTTCATTTTATAATTTATATTTCTGCTATTTTTGGGTGTAACTGGGACCTTGAGTACACAAATTCATTCCAACTCATGTGCCACATGTGATGCGAATGACAATTAAGGAACTTGAACTTCTACTGAAGTGCACAGACTGCCATGTAAGCAGAGAACATAATTTCACTGCCCACATCGTACCTGCATCAGCCCACTTTGTACCACCCAGCCACCCCAGCGATTTTGATCTAATGTGTTGGACACACGTTTGAAATGAAGATGGGCAAATATTTTCTCTTTTGTGCAGGGGTCAAAATCCAACTCTAGTGTGCTAGGATTGACAAAAGCTACATTTAGAGAGGGTTAAGAAGAGTTCTAGATGCCCACAACAACTTGGATGATTGAGAGAAAGTTTGTAGCATTTTTTTTATTGAAACTGTAAAACTGCAAATGTCTGGAAATCTATAATCCCAGCAGCCACAGCCCAGTTTGATACTGCCCTGCTGCTTATGTTGCAACAATCCAGTTAGTAATTATAATCACACACATCGTAATGCCGTGAGACGTGTGTACGGTCACACACTGAACGACGTCGTGAGGAACACAGACGTAAAGGTGTTTGACTGAACGCTGTCATTTAGGCACAAGGACGAACCAGCTGATGTCTCGTATCTCAAAGAACTGTTGCCAGGTGCTGTTCTTACATCCAAGCAGTCATTGTGTAACGACTGAAGAGAATTCAAAGAAACCGTTCGCTTTTGCTTCTAGGCAAGGACGCGTTTTAAAATGCAGCAGCTGCAACGAGCCGAAGGCTGAAGGGAAGGGCACAGATATTGTTCACGCAGCACGGCGATACAAAGGCAGACCGTTATTAGACTGCATTTAACTGATCCGGCTCTGCAAAAATTATTTACAGTAAAACCTAAGTGCATTTGAAGACCCATTTCACTGCAGGCTGCAGCCCACTTTCAGAACACTGAACTCGCCTCCAGGTGGTTGCAAATGTGAGTGTCAAACCTTTAAGTAAAATAAAATAACCAAAAAGTCACACCGCACGATCCACCAGCCATTGAGCAGATATACCTCCAGAGGAACAGGCGAAGAAACACAAAAGCTAGAATAATTTCTTCTCAGACAGCATTAACCCTCCTGATTTAACTTAAGGATATCACAGCTCTTCATCCGAGCCTGTAATCCCAGAGAAAAAGCTGCATTTTCTAAAACCGGCTCCTTTCATTCTCCGCCCTTTAGTCAACCTCAAGTAAACACATCGCCATAAAACTAGAATAAGCTCCAAGGACGGCGTTGGATGCGGCTTTAATGCAGGTCTGAAGGCAGAAGATCAGGTTGTGTGGAATATTTTAAGTCTCCAATAGAGTCGGACATTAGACAGATTGACAGAGCTTTACTGTGGTACTTTGGGCCAAACGAGGTTTAATGGGCTCCGTTTGTCAGCGGCTAATACTGAAAAGACAAAAAAAAAGGCCCCGAGAAAGGCAGGTGGCTTTTTTATTGTCCTGCTACAAAACCAGCGTTGACCTCTGCTCCTTTTAAACTTAGTGTTTCTGAAAAACATTTGAGATTCAAGAAAGGAGATTTTGAAACTCCTTCACGTTTGTCCTCACATCCCCGCAGTAAATACAGATATGCTCTTTAACTTGTGGTTTGGAGATAGTGACCGTAAAAACACAAGCCGGCCGGCCCATCTGGCCTGCTCCACAGATAAACTTGTACTTTCTGCTTTCATACGAAAGACGTGAAGCGTGTGGAGTCCATATGTTCCTGCTGGACTGATGGCTCAGTCTGTGACTCTGATGAACAGATGAACGAGCACAACCGTGCATTGAATGCAACGCTTGTGTTTCATCTGCTGTGTTTACCTGACTCCTGAGGTTCATCCATTCATTCTACACGGCAAACGTACCTGTGTATGAACTGGTTCTCCTCTAAATACTGGCAGCCCTTAGCGATGTCTCTGGCTACGTTGAGGAGGTCCACCATGGTCAGGCTGGACGGCTGGTCCTGAGGCATCAGAACAGAAACATAAGATGATTCAACGTTTCTCAGTACGTCTGAAATTACTGATGGATTAGATATAAAACATCAGCATGAGATTTAAAGCGACTGTCCATCTGGTTGTAAATCAATTTTGAAGCATATTTTTTATGTTTTTTTAGAAGAAAACATGCACAAAACATTTTAATAGTTTTGCTAGCAGATGGTAAACAAGCCTACATTATGTTAGGCTTTATTAAAAAAAAAAAGTTGCTAACTGAGTGAAAAAAGAAACCGACATCTGGATATTTTGTGTTTCATTTGAGCTTGAAAGATGGAATTTCTGAGTTTCCAGCTTAAGAAAAATATACTGGATTTCCTTTAAATAAAACGTCTGTGTCTAATTAATGTCACTGTCAAAATCAAATAAAAGTAGTGGCAGAATTGTTTGTTCAGATGAGCCTGAATTGGACAAATTTTAACGCTTAAGACGTTCATACAATTAGAACACGTTCCTTCTGTGGGAACTGATTTACAGAGGGAGTTTCAATGTGTCCTGATGCCCTCCTAAAAAAAGTTCAACCAAGTGAACAGAAAACTATTTTCTTTTTCCTTTTTCCCAATGTTCCACTTCAAAATATCCTTAAAAGCTCTGAAAACCTTTAGCCACCTGTTATTCACCAACCAGCAGACGCAGTTTACGACTGTCTGGTGAAAATAATGGAGCGTTTAGCAGCTGAAGAGCCAGAGGAGAAAGAGTCCCTGAGGAGGCTCCATCAGCTGAACGAGCCGAGATGGTGTCTGATGTGTAAATGAGCAACTGTTTGCTATAACTTCAAAGCTGGTGTCACTAACGGAGAAACAAAGCTGTGTAAAATGCGTATTATTGCGAGGAACGAAGCGAGCGGGGAGTCTCACCAGCCGGGGTCGAGTCTCCCTCAAGAAGGTCTTGAGGTCTCCTCCAGCCATCAGCTCCAGCAGGATGAACCTGGGCATGGCCTGCAGGCTGACTCCGATGCAACGCACAATGTTCTGGTGGTTGAACTTACTGCAGGGTCACCAACAGCAGGAAAATAAGCATTAGAAATGGATTTCTTGGCTCTGTAATGATGAGCAGAAATGTGTTCTACCTGATAATTAGAGCCTCCATGAGGAAGTCCAGCTCATCTTGCTCAGAGCAAACTTCAGGTAGAGTCTGGAGTGAACAGAATATTACAGAAATTAATGCTCATGTGCTTTAACGGTGCGTTTTTAATACAAACGAAACCTTATTCAGTAAAACGCCCTTAAAGGTGAAGCTCAGGAGGTTCAGACTCACCTTTACAGCCACCTGCAATGGACTCGGTTCTCCTGGTATCCCCACAGCCAGACCTTCATAAACCTCTCCGAATGCACCGTGACCCAGACCTCTGCAGGCAAACACACACACTGTCATTAAACAGATACCCTGACATTTTAACCCTTAAAAAAATAAACAGGAATAAAACTCAAATTAAATTTTTTTAATAATAATCAGGGAAGAAAGTTATGAAACAAACAAGAACAAGAAGGACTTCTCATCACATTCTATCAAACCCCTGTTGTGAGGATTGACAGGGCAATCTGCATGTGTATCTAGCTTAGCTCAGCTTTATAACTCGAATCCCACACCCTGTACTTTGAATTGAGAAAGCTCCTCGGATGAGAAGTGAAACGTCTTCTGTTACAAATAAAGTCCAGTTGTTTTTGTCATGAACTTTTTTGAACTCATCTCAATCTATTGAAGAAATTTAGTTTGTCTTATGTTATTTATTAAATGTAGCATGTAGATGTTTACTGAAAATATTAGGAACAAAAATGATGAACTGGTGTGGTATAAACACAGAAAATTAGCATTAAAAACTGAAAATAATCCTCGTCTGCATCAGCTGAAGCACTGAGACTTTATTAAATTATTTTCTCACGCAGCAGTTCAAGGACTATTAAATTTAAATTGTTCAAGTTGATCCCAACAATTAGGCAAGTGGGTCTAATTTTTTTCCTACAATTTCTAATTCTAAACTACATATTTAAATTCCTAATGTTTAATAGATTTTTTAAGTGCTGTGTGTTGGTACACTGAGGTCAGCTCCTGACCAGACTCTTCATTAGCTCAAGTGAAAACACAAATTTAAGCAACTTTTAACCAATAAACAAGTTTCGTCCAAATCCAGTCTTTGAGGTCCGCTACCCTGCATGTTTTAGATGTTTCTCTGCTCCTGATTTAAACGGATGAATGACCTCAGTATAAAGTTTATTCTAGGCGAGCTGGACTGGGAAGCTCAGTCCTCACCTCCTTCTGCAGGTGTGCAGTGGAGAGCATCCTGTGCTCCAGCATCAACGTGTGGCATGGAGGCTGCACAGCTGCAGAAAGAAAAACTTTGCAGAGAGTGGTGAAGGCTGCACAGAAGTCTGTTGGAGTCAGCCTCCCCACCATCACAGACATCTACACCTCCAGATGCAGGAAGAGGGCCACCTGCATCATGAAGAACCCCACTCATCCAGCACACACTTTTTGCCCCGCTCCTCTCAGGCAGGAGGTTGCGGCACATTAAGTGTAGAACCAATAGACCAGGGGTGTCAAACTCACTTACAAAAGGGGGCCAAAATCAAACCTTTTTCAAACTAAGGGCCGATTTCAGAAACTACATTGCCTCAAATGAGATACTCGACATCTTTTCTTGGTCACAGGTTCCTCAACAAGAGTTTGACTGGTCTCATTTGATGTTCTCTGTTGTGCTTTCGACATCATAATCAAATATTACAGAAAAATTCGAGATAGAAGTATTTTGATTTCACATATCTTGGTGGCCAGATAAGATGTCAATGAGGGCCACATTTGGCCCCCGGGCCTTGAGTTTGACACATATACTGTAGACTGAGGAACAGCTTCTACCCTGAAGCTGTTAGACTCATGAATCCCATACCAGGAAAATCACTGTAATGTCAATTTAATTGGAGATTTGTTACTTTATCTATACTGCTGATTTCTTACCTATAAGCTGCTATATTTATACCAATATGCTCACAACAGACTCATGTTCAGGCTGCTGTTTAATACTCCATATTATAGTATATTATTATTTAGCATACAGTTGCTTTTTTAATAGTTTTTATTTTATACTTTATATTTTTGCTATTTTTGGGTGTAACTGGGACCTTGATTGCATAATTTAATTCCACCTCATGTACCACATGTGATGCGAATGACAAAGAACCATGAACCTTTATTAAACACATTTATTTAAATCAGGCCTGTCAGAACTGAGAAAACTTAACGAATCGATCATGAGGAACGCATCGTGTCAAATATTTGCACACATCTGCATCGGTGAGAGCAGCTTTAATGTTTTCAGCTCGGCACAGTCGACGTCTCTCACCTGGTGAGGGAAATGTTGCGTCGCGGTACCTCCTTCAGGTCGCTGACCGACGCCGTTTTGCCCGCGAAGCAATAGTTTGGGTTGTAGTCGGTCATGATGGTGGAGGCTCGCAGCTTGCTGAGCTTACAGTCTGGACTCTGCAGCTCCAGCTGAATGGACTGCAGCTCGGTGTGTTTACGTCGATACACTGGTGAGAAGAAAATGAAATCGTTTGATTCCCCCGCTGAGATATCCACTGTTCTAAAAAAAACCAAACACAAACCCTGAAACCTATCTTCTTGTAGAAAATTATTGCTCGCAGCCAGAGCGCACGGAGTAGAAAGCTGTTAAAAGTAATATTTCTCTAAAGACCAAGAACAACAATCACTGTGAAATTGAATTTTTCCATCTGTGAGATCTTGAACTTCATCGAACGTTCGGTTTCAGATGACATTTAGCACTTGAATCCGTCCCAAAAGATTCACATTAAACACAGAAACAAAAAGTACCAAGCATAAATAAACCATTTCACACCCTCCACCTCCTCAGTGTGGCTCATGAGCACGCGTCATGTAAGACAACATGCAGCTTTTTATATCTGTTGCACGCTCGACCCGGGCTGTAAACGTATTAGTCGTGTGGAGAATTATCTGTGTGTGTAGGGGAGTTGTTTATTTACAAAGTGCTGTCTAATGTATGAGCACAGTCAGCTCCCGGCTGAGCAGCTATCCATCACGAGCACGTTTCATTCTTCACACACTCGGTCCTCGTTTGTCTCCAGCACGTGTGAAGGTGGGAGTCTGAATATGAGCGGGAAGTGCGAGAGTGTGTGGGAGTGTGTGTGGAGGAGATGATGGCTCAGTGGCTGCATATGTCTGCCTGTTATTGTCTGAAAGCAGCAGGCAGACGAGTGCGTGCGCTGACCACAAGGCTCACTTTCTAATCAGAGAACAAACCGTTGAATGTCATCAATATAAAGTGTCATCGTCTCATCACAAGATCTTAATCTTTGTTTAAAAGTCTGGCATGAAAGGCGACGGGCGATGTGCAGTCCAGGCCCTTTACGATAAAAGCAAACATTTAAAAAGGTACCATAACTTCAACAACAAAGTCCATGCTCAATAACTTTGTAACTTAAAGCCAAAAAGGGAGAATATGTGTTCAACATAACGGTACTTCTTCCAGCTATCCAACTGTCAACAACGGTGTACCACAAGGCTCAGATTTAGGACCCACCCTCTTCACAATCTACATAAGTAATGTACGTCAATTCACAGTATTTTACATCGTTTTATAATGTAGCTGCTTTTTGTTTTGGTTTTACATCATTTATTTTTCATTTTATATTCTTTCATATGATTGTCCATTGCTGTCTGTACCTCATCTGTGTTCTTTGTCTAAAACAGGTCTCTCTTGTAAATGAGCCCTCGTGACTCAGTGAGTCTAACCTGAATACATAAAGGTAGAATGAATGATTGTGCTCATGTACATGTTTACATTCCAATATTCATATAGATATTCCGAACGTTTGCTTAAACTGACCAAAATGGGTTTTAAAGTAAGGTCCCTGACACTTCTCATCTATCACTATCATTTGCACCTCAGATTGGTCAGTGCTCTTCCAAGGTGTTGTTGGACCTCAGCTTGTGAGTACTTACTGATCATGACTCCGGACACGGCCAGCAGCAGGGCAGCGATGAGGGCCGAAGTCCCCACAGACAGACCCAGAGCCAGATGGGACAGAGACGGCTGTGGAGGCAGCAGGGACACGTCTGCGAGACAAAAGGAAACAACAGTTATCTCCCCTAGAGGAGCATTAACATTCATTTCGTCACGTAGATCCCCAACTTAATGAATGATGTGAAAGCGATGGCACAACAGAGCTCGGGAGCAGAGACAACGACTGCATGTAAATCCCCCTTCAGTGGTAAGTGGAGTGGGGGTGGGGGGGGGGGGTGTCTGGTTTCTCGTGTCTGAACAGAAGGAACAAATCTGCAAACCCAAAGCGATTGTACTGAAGCTGTGACCTTTTCTACCCTGGCATCGTTAATGAGATCAGATCTGCAGATCACACAGCAGGTCGAACAAAGACAGGGGGTTATTGAGATAGCATTGAGATGGTAACAACCCCGTTAGTTTGTTTCAAATTATAAAGTCTCAGTCATAATAATTGCTTTCAGAGTTCCAGACTTCTGTTGGTTCAGCTCACTTCCTGTATTTGTGTGACAGAGTGAGAAGAAACATGGCGTCAAAGTGAAATGTCCAACCTGAGGCGTTGATGCAGGACACTCCATCCGAGGCCAGGACGAGGTCTTCGTCGCAGTAACAGACAATGCCGTCTTTGCCCTCGTGGCACTCGCCGCTTTCGCAGTGGCTGCAGTTCTGAACTGGGCTGACGATCACCTCACCGTCTCCCTCCATGGCTGCAGACACACAAACACAAAGATGGAGAGGCTGTTCACACTTTTCTGGAAATATCTGGGGTCAGATCTGAATCCAAACTTCCGTTTGGTTACAGCCTATTGAGTTTAACACCATTTAAAGCAGTGGTCATCAACTGGCAGCAAACTGGCCCGCAAGAGCATTGCAATAAATAATCAATATCTTACCGATTGTAGATAACTTCTTGCATAACCTCAGTTTGCCAAGACTGAGTCTAATAAAATTTTTAAAAACATAAATTCCTGTCGGTTTTCATTAAATGGTTATTTTGGCAGAAATATGAATTTCCTGTCAGAAGTGACACCTGAATGTCGTAGAAGTGCTACATCTTACTAATGCTAATAATGTTTGTAAATAACCATAAACCGTGTTTGAATGGAATGCTATGTATTTTTGGAGGATGGGATGTTTTAAGATACACTTATCTTCTTTGCATTTGGACTGGTTTGTAAAATATTTATCCAAACTGAGACCAAAACTTTTTATAACTTTTACACAGATATCCACATGAAAATGCCTGAAATAGTCCTTTAACAGCTCCAGTATGGCTGTTTCCTGAACTGTTTAGTGAGAACTGAACTTTCATTAAAAAAAACCACAAAACAATAGATGTTTGATTAAAAGTATAAATGAGGCATGAAACTAAATAAACGAATATTGATTATGATCATTATGATCATAGCAGGGATTAGCTGAGCGAGCTGCTGTTGTGAAATGTTTTGTGTACTTTTACTGTTTGAGTACTCTGTTCAAATACATTCAGTATACCATCTTTATATATGAAGTAGCTCATACATGTGTTTCTTGTGTATGTTAATGTTCACATTTTCTATTTTTGTACTCTGTAACAGTATTTTCATGTGTTTTATTATAGAGTTTACCTTGCGGAGACACATTTATCCATTTTACTTTTTACTGTGTTTTTTGTTTGTTTGTTTGTAAGAAAACGATATGACTAAAGATTTCTACATGGCCTCATTTCTATTCTCATTTTAAACTGACTAATTATTTTTGGTGCATCAAGTTTCCTAATGCAGTGGTTCTCCAAGTGGGGTCCCTGGACCCCCGGTGGTCTATTCTGTTCAGTTTTAAGTAAATATTTTCATGTAATAATTTGAACAACTCATTATGTGGATATGTAAAGTTTTAAGCATTTTTTTTTTTTAAATACTGTTAATTTTCTCAAAACCGTCATTTTTGAAAGCTGAAATTAAACAAAATTTTAATCAAGTGTGTCTTGAATGAAAAATACCCCATGTTTAAAAGTATAAAAATTGCATTAACATTATTAAAGAACAGGTTTTAAGTATTTATGTTACACAAATATTTCCACTGCATTAAAGAGAGAAATTTAAGAAAATTATTTAATACGCATGAAAGTTATGAGGGGGTCCCTGAACCCAAAGTGTTTGAGAACCCCTGGCCCTGGTTTTCAGAGAAGCTGCTGAAAATGGAGGTTCGCTTGATCTTGACC